TTACTATTCAACTATAAAAGAAAAATCAGCAACATACCAAACTTTATCTAAATCATTTCCATTAAGACATATTTCAATTATATTATCAAGCATCAGTCCAGTCCAACTGAAAATTAAGTATGCAATGTATTTCATCCATATGAAAAATTAAATAATTTTAAAATTTTCAAAATACATCAAGATAAACAATTTTAATCATCATAACTTACTATATACGATTCACTCTACTTTCATCCTGAGAATCAATTCTTTCTTTAATATCCCATGCAATTATTATAAACTGTTTTTGAAGCTTTTAAAAAAGATATAAAATTATATAAATTTATATTCTAAACCTATTTAACTTCCATAAATATAATGAACCAACCTCTTCGTTTTGTTTTGTACAGGCCATAACAGATAGTATACTTTGAACAATTCTCTCTCTATCTGCATGATTAAATGTTATAATATCTGGAATGAAATAAAACATATTTTAAAATTTATAGCTTTTTTTAATATGTTTACTTATTTATCCCAAGAGATTATTCACTTTTATATTAAAACTGTTATAACTGGTTAAAAAAATTATATATATTATTTTATCTATATTATGTGATGTTTGATACGTAAACATGAACTAAGTAAAGAGTAAAATGCCATTATAAACATTTTATATTGACAATTACTTATTTTAAAACTTACTGAAAACAGATAAGAAATAATATTGATAAGAATTATATATTATTAAAAACTGTTTGTATTAATCATAATTATGAAATAAAATATTAACTCTTTAAACATAAAATCAGCCAAAATCGACTTAATCTGCTCAAGACAAAATTGCACCATGGAAAAGTTGTTTGACTGATTTTGCTATACAAATTTCCCTTGTAGTCTGAGGTGTAAAAAGAATTCTGTCTCCAGGTACTCAGAAAGAATATTAACTCTTTAAAAAGTTATTCATTGTAATAAATATAAAATTCATATAAACACATTGCATAAATCATTAATAATTCTTTGGGCAAATTAAATTAATCAATGTGCAATTTTAGAAAAAATATAAATATAAATTTTAATAAACTGTAATTAAACATTTATTTTTAATATTTAAAAAAACAAAATAAAAATTTTCAAGTAATGAGATTGTTATGAAATTAAAAAAGTATTTTTATATTTTCCAGTAATATTTTAATAAAGTAACTTGAATGAAAATAAAGTTAATACAGAAATGAATTTGTGTAAAATATTATAGATTGAATGATATTAATAAAGAATCAAAGAAAAGCTATAGCAGAAACCAATTACAAAGTACAAAAAGTTAAATTGGAAAGAGTACAGAAAATAAAAAGAAATAGAATCAAAAGTGAAAAACAAAAATCTAAACATGTGATCAAATACTGTTCAGAAAATGAAATACCAAATATATGGGATAATGCTACATATACAGTACATTCTGTATTCTCATTTGAATATTTGGCATTTTCATGAATAATGGAAAACTAGTCGCAATATTTTTATAAGTAAATTTTGTAATGAGAAACTCAATACACATATTATATTCTGTTTAAAATTATGATTAGCCATCATAATTTCCATGATGACTGAAATGTTAATCAGATGCTTTAAAAAAAAAAAAAAAAAAAAAAATATTTCCTACTCCACATTATTTTACAAAGTATTCCAAGTGCAGAAATATTCCATTAAAATATATTAATTCATATTGGAGTAAACTTGTATCCTAATGAAAATACATTACATTTGTAATGTTTTCTAAAGTATTAATTTAAAAAGATTGAAAAAATTCATCAATTAAACAAACATTTACTTTATCAATGTAAATTTCATTAACCAATTTAAACATTTTAGCAAATTTTATTTTTTTCTTTGTTTTCATAAACCATAAAAATGATTGCAGCTTTTCTTGTCTAATTGTAGAGAATAAGATGAGTTAGATTAGCACTGCCAAATATATATATATACAGGAATACCCTGCTAATGAGTACCTTGTTAGTGCAAACAGATTCTTTGTCTCCTGGCTGGCCTTATGGGACTTTCTTAAGGTGTTAATGTGAAATCCCTAGTAACTCATAGTGAAAAGTAAAAATTGGGACGCCAACATTCTATCATCCCTGATAATGTGAAAAAAAAAGAATGAAAAAATAATCCGAGAACTTTGGCTTATTAAACCTCTGTAACACTGCTTCACTGCCAAACCTCTTAACAACGATTTTCCAGTAAGATTGTCTCAAGATTAGATGCAAAGAGGACAGGGAAAGTGTGCGTCAAGAGCTGAATCTGCAGGTTTATGAAATTTCTCAAGTACTGTACTGTGCATGCCAACCACTTGGCTTTTGGATAAACAGTTCATCTTTCCTACCTCTGCTTGCCCTGTAGCCCATCCTTGGCAAATAATGGTCTTTATCACCTTCAAGTGTTTTTAATAATTTCCATGATTGTCTTTTCTTTTAATGTTCCTCAGTTTTAAATGAAACTATATTTCCTATTGTACTTAAAAACTACAGTAATCATACCTTCAATGGTATCAACAGGAAGGATCATTTCTGGATAGAAGATTGGCATTACTGCATTATATAGTCAGTTAATATAATGACCAAATTCTAACAAAGTTTAAAATTTCAGAATTTAGATTACAATTGAAATTCATTAAGTTTGAATCCAGTAAAGATAATTAAAGGATTTATAATCAATATCTTTTGATTTCTGCCCATTTAACATTCAAAAATTGAAGTTATGCTTTTGATTGGCTAACAAATTTTAACTGTAAAAAATTTTGTATTTGAATGTGAAAATACCCTTCAAAATTTTAAATCTCTTGCTGTGATTGGTTAGAAAAAAAAGTCAGTTAACTAGTAAAATAAATATAACTAACAATGGTTTTAAAAACAGTATAAACATGCTGTCTCCTTTTGGTGTCTCTACTTTCTAATGAAGTTCTCCTATTTATCATGTTGCAAATACAGATGTGAGATTTTGACCCCTTTTTCATTTTCACTGTTGTTTTGATCAATGTTAATTGAATATTTAAAGTAATATTCTAATATTCTACTCAAGAAAAGGGCAACCAGAAGGTCAAGTGGTGAAAAGAGGACAAGGTGGAAAAACCCGCACATCCTTTTTCTTGCAATTTTCTGATAGATAAAAACCGATCAAATATCAGTCTAAGTCAACAATCACTAGGATGTTTGGACTTATATTACAATCCTAGTCAAGACCGTCAATTATTAATGATGGGAAACTGTCAAACAGATAGAATTATGAGGTAAGAGGAATAATCAAAATGGATAGAAAATAGTAATAATTCTACCAAATCATCCAGTTCTTGACAGCTCATATCAGCAAAACCTGGACATAGCTTAAACTTAGACCACATTAAATCAAAGTTACCTGAGTCAATTCTCATGCACAACAGGTATAAAAAAGGGTCTCACCCGACAATTGGCGCATGGACATCAACAGTAGACATAAGTCACACCATAATCAAGGCAGCCACCAACAGCGGACATATTCTGAGAATATACACAACATTCCACCCATCAATACCTATACTGCCAAAGTCATTTCCTTCCAACACCCTCTCAGCCTTAGATCACCAGCTGACATTGCATAGAAGACTCTGGGAGCTATGAAGTGTCATCACAAGGTATTAGCTTTGAACCATTTATGTAAACTCTCTCTCAGTTGACTTAGATTTTAAGATAGACTTAGCCGCACCCTCAGTTTCCCATTGTTCTCTATCTGTCTCAATTTGTTCCCAACCAAAAGGAGCTAATGTTTATTACTTTATCTTGTTGTAACTTCCTTTCTCCACTTATATTAAATTTGTTCTGTTATTTTACTGGTTGTAGTTACTCGTGTATCGCTGACCTCACTAAGCCTCCCACTCGCATAAATTCATGCCACCCACTGACACCATGAGCGGGATTTGCCATCCCATCGTCAGAGAGTGGGTTAGATCTCACACCGTAGCTTCTGACATCTCACACAGTATTTATATACTGAATATTTTTCTATATACTGTTTCATATTGGTCTGAATATTACACAATGTTTTTCCTAGATTCAATTATGTTATGAAGCAGGCTACTCTAGATCAGTGCTTTTGAAAAGCTGTAGTTATTGCAGTTCATTGTATCCCTTCTATAATGAAATACTGTATCTAGTTTAAAAAATTTATCATCACTCCCACCTAAGATGTTTTCCCATTTAAGACATTTTTCCATGCCTTCAAAAATGTCTTAAAAGGGTTATACTATATACAGCATACTGTTTATATACTGTATACTGCAAGTAAGTGTCACATCTCATTTGCATACTGTATTGAACACAGTGATGAGTACTGTAGGAAGGAAGCAATTCACTTCTTGTTTGCACGGTAGGGCTACAGCTGCTGTATTTACTGTATATACAGCACTATATTGATTGATTTCCTATTTTTCTCACCATGTTAGAAAAATGGCAGTGACAGGAACCAAATATGTCAAATGTCAGAGCAAAGAACTGTCATTGTCCAATAAATTGAAGATTTTGGAAGAGGCAGACAAAAAAGAGAAATAAAAAAAAAAAAGAGATTGAAAAGCAGTATGCCCCTACTATCCTGTCAACAGCAGAAAAGCCCCCTACTATCCTGTCAACATATTTGAAGAGAAGAAATGCAACAGAGACAGCAGCTGCAGATGGCTGCAAAGCAGATGGCCATTTTAAAGGGAAAACTTGCTGCAGAGGAAATAAATTAAAGGAAAGAATGACAAAAATTTTGCTGGCTTGCAATGCAGACAGAAGTGAAAAGTTAATGTTGCTTGTTATTGGCAAGTATGATAAATCATGCTGTTTAAAGCAGGTTTCTCTCTTGCAAGTACACATATTAAAAACACTTGGAAGACTGTTGTGATCTTTCATGTGTGTGGTTGCTGTGCTTAAAGAGAAAAATGTGTTGACTGAAGCAAAAGATCTTGCTGGCTTTTGAAGACTGTCACCCTCATCATGTAAATAAAAAGCTACAGCTGAATTTCATCAAGACTGTATTTTTGCCATCAAATTGCACTGCGAGGCTGCAGCTGTTGGATTGTGGCATTATTTTGAGTTTCAAGGTTGCTTACCACAAGAAACTGACAAGACACTATCTGTTAGAAATAAAGTGAATGGGAAAAAGTGTGAAAGACAGATATATCCGTCCAGGGCTATCATGTGGCAGTGGTGAAGGATGGATATATGATATCCGTTAAATTCTTTTGGGGGTATCGCTAAAAACCAGCCAAAAATTACCGCGAAAAAAAAATCACCTAAAAAAATGAATTATGTAACAATAAAAAAAGACTTTTTCTTTACTAGATCTAACTGTTTACAAAATCTTTTTCTGAAACAGTAATGAGAAAAAACGCACAGAAAAATACTTTAAAAATTTCTCATGTTTATTCTCCACTACTGGGGGTAGAACCATACCTGACTAGTCCA